GCGCGCGAACACGGTGAGGACAGGCTGGGATGATGAGGTGCATGATCCACCCCTGACTCGGATGCTGACGGATATTATCAGATTTGCACGGAAGGATCTGGTACAAGGTGATTAGTGTGTTGATGGACGAGAAGTTACCGTGTGGGTTGATTCAAGTTCCTTGACAACTGGCGTCGTTGTGAAAAGCGGCGAATCCCTAGTTGAAGATGCCCGTTGGCCGCGAACATATCAACCTGACAGAGCTTGGCACGATCGTGAGAGGCATCAACAAGGCACTGCAATGGAGAACGACTGTGGTACACCTGAAGACTGACTCAACGTGTGTGCATCGATGGGTTTCCGATACGCTGTCTGGAAAGTCTCGGGTGCGCATGAAGGCGGTGACAGAAATGTTGATAAGACGTCGGCTCAGCACAAGCAAGGAACTGTTGGCGGAATATAAATTGACTGTCGACATAGAGCTCGTCAAATCCCATGCAAACCGATCCGATCAGCTCACTAGAGTGCCTCAACGTTGACTGGGCACAGTTTGGAAAGAAACGGAAACAGTATGGGCCACATCTATGGAAGAGCAGGAATCAACCCACATTTTAGCCATCCATCGATCGTAGTGGGCATCCTGGTGTGAAGTGCACCTTGTACTTTGTACGACGAATCCACCCTGAGGTCTCAAAGGCAGCTGTTCGGTAGGTGGGGTTGGTGGGAGGGGGCTTGGAGAGTGCGAAGTGTGCCAATCCATCGATCCGGCGCCAGTGCATTGGAAAGCTGCACAGCTGGATGTGTGCGAGAAATGGAGCAGGGTTGGAATGGACATGACATTATGAAGGCCGACATTGCCTGACTGAGTGCAGCTCTAGTTGGTTTTGCATCTGGCGGCCGTTACCACATCACGACGCTGACAGCATCATCCGACAGCTGGAGTTGTTATTCTGCGAGAGAGAGAGCCACCTGCCGAGCTGCCCATCGACAATGGTGCGGCATTCTGCGGGGAGGTATTCGCGAGGTTTGCCGAGAACTGGAGCGTCTGACTTAGATCCCGGTGTGCCTATTAACCATCGGGAGAGATGCCTCGCACCATCAAGCCTATCTCTGCTCGATCGGGATGTTCCATTATGGAGGCATTATATTGTTATAACGTGACGCCAAAAGACGACGCAACAGCTTTGTCGGCACCAGCTAACACTATATACAACTATCAGCGGAAACAGATACTGGAGACAACGATGATGATGCCAGTAACGAAAAAGAACAAGTGGGCACAAATGCAGGAGAGACGGTGGAGCCTGTCCACCTTTACGCAGAAGTACTCAACGAAGGCGACCGTCATCTCCGTGTCATTTATGTGATCAGGAGATCGGGGAGGAGTGTAGAAGAGAATGATAGCTTAAGTTAAGAAAGACACCGTCTCGGAGCTACGAGAATTCGCATGAGTACGCAAGGAAGGAGGAGAGCGTTCGTTTTTGGAACGCGGTGCTGTTTTTTTGAGTTGGCAGAGACTGGGACAGTTAGAAAACGTTTATTTGGACCAGTTACACACATACAAAAATCGGATCATTATTATCATGTTGAGCACGAACAAAAACTACACACTAAGAAACAGGAAAATATCGTTAGAACCCAAGAAAACATTGCTGAATATAAATTATCGTTGTATTAATAATAATTAATTATCGTTCCAATATAAATTATCGTATATGGAAGTGAATGCTGCAGTTTCCTCGCAGAAGAAAGGCAACAGAAATGTGGTTCTACAGAGGGATGCTAATAATGACATGGACGGAGCGGGGTTAGTAACGAGTAACTTTTATTGAAAATGGAAACGAAAAAGATACTTTTACTCGGAATCAAGAAGTAAAATTTCAAGGACACGTAATGAGGAAAGACGGCTTAGATAATTTGAAACTCACAGGACATAAGGAAGGCAAAAGAGACAGATGCAAAATAGCGAGTAAAAGTCCCTAACGAACTTGTGCAAATGGATGTCAGTACAAGGATTGGGAGTAATAATAAAAAGAAGAAACATTGCTAAGAATTACAAATGATGGGAAGAGGTGGATAGCCATGATCGCCTGAAGGCACAAGAAGAAGAAGAAGAAGGAGAAGAAGAAGAAGAAGAAGAAGAAGAAGAAGAAAGTAATAGCGTAAAATGTGCAATTTTAGGGAAAAAAAGAGGAAAATCGAAAAGAAAAATAAATAAAATAAACAAGGGAAGCTACTAGAAATGTCAGAAATGTCAGAAATCAACTGGAAGAAATTATTTCCCTTTAATCCTATTGCTACAAAGCCTCCTCGATAGAAGCAATACTCCATGATAGAAGGCCTGTTCGATTAAAACATGATGTCACCATAAGTAGTTTTGAATGGACACCCATTCAAAGTGGTTTGACGGTTGGCATTTTCCGCCAGTCAAAGGTCACGTAACTTATCGTATACCAGTCAATAAGTATCCACGTGCAGACAGACGATCTGCAGGCATCGAGTCGAGAAGACGCGTTTCCCGTCTCTCTCTTCCCCATACGGCTCAAACACCTTTTATAGTCAACTTCGTTGCCTGAAGCTACCTTCACCATCCTTGATTCGATTAGCCCAATCTTCCGACTTCCTACATAATACGAGATTCTCTTCCAAAAAAAAAAAAAAAGAAAAGCAACAAGATTTTGGCACGAACTCTTCCAGAATCTCCACTTGTCAACTACAGCGATAGCGAAAGTCCAAGTTCTACGTACTTACATCCATCCCCGTCGAAGGATCGTCGCACGTAAGAGAATTCATTTTTCTATCAACACTTAACCTTTCTCTTACCGTTAATTCATCGACGGCAGGCAACCTAGCATCTTTTAAACAACTGCTGCTGCTGCTGCAGTATTAAGCGAACCTTACCTCTCATCCAAAGCAACAAGTTAAGAACCCACGAGCCTCTACACGTGGTAATTGTATTTTCTGGATCTTTCTCTTAATCTATACTTCACGAACATTTCTCTTGCAAATTATAAACTTTGTGATTCTATCCTGGTCTAACTCATGTCGGAGTTTCCTACCATGTTAATCTAAGTCCCCATTTCTAAGTCTCAATTATTGATTCGTCTTCTATTCTCCGCTCCTAAACTAGCAAGGACAATTCGGTAAATATATGTTCTATAAAATACATTCATAGACAAGTTGCCTCTCTTGTTTATTCAAAAAAAAAAAAAAAAAAAAAAAAGAGATTCTTACAATTAATCTTTCCCACGTCTCCGGCTCCTTTCCTCTTTAAGAATATTTGGCGCCAATATTTGGATACTTAAATACTTAGATAAGATACTTTACATCTTTAAAGAAAGAAAGAGAGAACAAACAATAAATTAAATAGATTAAAATCCGTTTTTATTTTAATGATTGTCCCATAAAGTTACTATATTGGCATGTTTTTGCAATATAAAAAGATATTCTAATTACATTAGAAAGTAAAGAAACCAAGCTTCGATTTTTACCTTAGAGAAAATTATTTAAAGTTTTACATTTGTTGCTATGTTAAAGAAAATAGTGTATGTTTCATAAAATCGAAGCTTAGTTTCTTTCTTTTCTAATATAATTAGAATATCATTTTATATTACATGTCAATATAATAACTCGAATATTCATTAAAAATAAAATAAAAACGCATTTTTAATCTATTTATTGTTTTTTCTTTCTTTCTTTCTTTCTTTAAAGATGTAAGGTAGAAATCGAACCCTGGTTTGTTTTTCTTCGTCTCTAATATGAAAAATGATTCAGTCAATTTCAATTGTCAGTATCGTAACTTTACGGAATCAAACGTTTTTATAATAATACTGTTTGCTTGTTTTTTCTTTATTTTTTATAAATTAATATTAAATAAAGTTCTGAGATGAAATTCCAACCCTTGTTTCTTTTTTTTTTTTAAATTGTAATTTAAAAATTATTGTATCCTTTTAAAAAATACCTACAATCATTTATTTGCAGCAGCTTTGCTTTGGTTTACTACTTGTGGTGACATCACGTTTAATCGAACAGATCTTCCATAACGGTTGTATTGATTGCATTTTGTGGTCATTTTCTAAGCGTAGCGCAAAGCTGAAAATATGGACCACCTAGTGAGGATTGAACTTTCTACTCAGTCGTAATTGTCCAAACGAGACAAGCTTTGCTCACCATTATTACATCACGTAGAGGTGCCCTAATCCTATTGCATATGAATTTTGAGGCAAATTCCCCCCCATAAATTTTCTTCTGTTTGAAGATGATTAAAAAAAATTCATCACTGAAAGAGCAAATAAAAAAAGAAAACATCAAAAAATTTCAAAATCATCCGTGAGAAAGATACCCTCCTGCAACGTGTCGTCCAATTTGTTCTTCAGGAGAAAATTCCGTAATAAAACCCCAAAAAGCAGATCATTTTAGTAATTCCTAGAATGATAACAATGGTACATTTCAAAATGCTATCTTTACTTTCTTCAGAATCCAATTGATTAGTGGTGTTACCATGTAAATGTTACGGTTTGGTGAATTAAAATAGGCTGCAGTGAATATTTTGTTCAGTTCTACAGATTTGTTTGTCATTTGCCTGACCGTAACCAGTTAGGCACGTCCCTGAAGAGGCTTGACGCTCTGTAAATCTCTGTTCATAAGTGAGAGTAGTGGGTGAACATCATAACTGGGTGTCGAGAGGGTTGCACTTTTAGGTTTGAACGATGAAGTAGCCAAGGCGACCTGGGTGTCACATGTAAATATTTGGGACTAGATTACTCAACCTGAACGTATTTTTAACTGGGCCTCACCTGCAAGGTTATGCACTTCCTGTCACCATATCGCGCACATTTGGCTGTGATGTGTGTACCTGATATACCCTTATCAGAATCGGTTTCATGATGGATGTTGTATCGGACTTTGTATATTTGTACCCTAACGTCATTTTGTTATCGTGCTACTACGTAATAATAATAATAATAATAATAATAATAATAACTAGAGGAAGAAGACGATAATAACGAAATTGTACTTACCAGCAATGGGGCTTCCAAAGAAAGATGATATTCCTTGTGACATGATGACAAGACCAAAAGCATTTGTCAATCTTTCTATACCCAAAAGTTCCACCATAATAATTGAGCGGAGGGAAATGAAAGCAGCTGAAAATATATTAGTTAAAAAGACGATTTTACGATGTTTGTAGCTTCAAAGGACCGAATGAAAACAAATAAATACTAATTCAGCGACACAATACTAAAATAGAAAATATAATATTTCGGACGTCCCCCTTCTCCTCGTCTCCTCATTCCACTCTCTAAATTTCATATATATTGGGATTTAAGTACAATGTTGTCTGTCACCAAGACTGAGTTCCCTAACAAGTGTAGAGAGTCAAGTCGGTTCAACTATTTTATCCTTAACTTTGGAGAGAAGAGAGGGATACATGCTTTATGTAAATTTTGGGTAGCACTATATATATATATATATATATATATATATATATATATATATATATATATATATATATATATATGGAACAAATTTGATAATGGAACAAATTCGCGATGAAAAATTTTTTAAACATAAAAATATATATGTATATGATGAAAAATATATTTAAATATATATATAATATATATATATATATATATATATATATATATATATATATATATATATATATATATATTGCCCACATTCAACTGAACAGTTAGTCTTATTTAAAAAAATACGAAAATCAACAGTTTTTGGGTTTTTTTTTTACAATTTACGTTCCTACTGGAAACAAATAACATTTCCCAAACACATATTTAAACTAGAGCGTTAATTGCATTTCTCTTCGGCCGACTGAAAGTAAAAATTTGCTACCCTAACCGAGGAGTTGCCGGAGTTGCTGTTCGTATTATTTATAACATACATACATACATATATATATATATATATATATATATATATATATATATATATATATATATATATATATATATATATATATATATATATATGTTACAAATATATATATATATATAGGAAATGGATTAAATCCGACAGATTTTTAATTTATTTGTTAAAACATTATTTATTCAAATGGCTACTCAAATTTGAGTAGATGCTGTGTTTTATTTATTTATTAAACAGTATACTTATTTATTTACATATACCTGCCTTGGATATTCAAGGGCGTAAATTTTTATAAAAAAGTTTAAACATATATATATATATATATATATATATATACATATACAGGTAGTAATCCGTATAATCCAGGCGAGTCCTATTAGCACAACATAGACTTTGAAATATGCTAAAACTGACTCACAAACGAGCGCTCAATGTTTATTTTCATTAAACAGAGCGAATTTTCTTTACAATTGGAATTAAGATACCTTTAGTAAATGACCATTTTCACCTATGAGTTTTGATTTTAAAATTCGTAAGATTTTTCATACTGTTTATGGTATCAGTTTGTAGTGTACTGTTTATTTGGAGAAAGAAAGAGAGAGAGAGAGTATGTTATAGGGGACTTATTGGGAGGTATGGAGAGAATAAGAAGACACCGTTACTGGAATCATATTATGGAGGCAGGAGAATGGGGGTAGGAGATGGAGGAGAAGCCCGGTGAGCTGACCTATATCCTAATGGCCACACGGTCAAAATTTCATTCAACGGGATTTCAGGTAAATTAACGAAAACGTGAAAAAACAATCAAGCGGTAACTTTGGCAAAATTAAAGAGAATTAATTCGGAATTATTGGTATTAAACTCGTTCATGAACCAGAGCTCAAAGTTTGGGGGAATGTTTTTTAAGGATTTCGAGTGGATTTGGATATATATGTATGCGTTCTCATGCGTTTGTCTACGTTAATAATACCTACTCGTATAGCTGTCTACACTAACATACATTTAGATAGATTAGATTTAAGCACATACATACATACGCTAGCTGGAATGTATCTACAAAAACCATATGTTAGGATGAAACATTTTCGAAAGGTAATTAGGCATTAACCTAGTATAATTATACGAAACAAACAAAGGTGAGAACAAATTAAAATTATTGTTCTGTACGAATCTATAAGTACTAATTATTTCCTAGATATATATTCTTAGGTCACTTCTTCAATGCCTAATCTAATGTGTATCTCTAAGTGACTCTTTAAACACTACCTATTAAATTCTTGTATTAACGTATATACCTTATGTTAAATATTAAGAAGTCTCCTTATGGTAGTAAAATTTGATTACTCAAGATTGGATATGCTGAATCGTATATAATGATTATATATAGGGTATAAGGCTGACCTATATACATATATATGTATGTGTCTCCTCGCGCATACCTACACCAACCCTATATTCATATGCATACATACCCCAGCCCACACATATATATGCATCCAAATTTAAGAACTTATTTAATCTTCCGTAATTTGTTGTTATATGATATTTAATTAACCCAGAGATTATCTAGTCGTTTATTATTGTCATAACACATTTGGTGAAGATTTTAATAGATGTAATCTATGCTTAAAGGAGAAAATGAAAATAATCAAATTTGAAAACCAAAAGATTCTCTTAAATCAAAGGAACGAACTAATTTCCGAATGCCGTCACCGCAGGATATTTGAGCTTACCTAAACTCCCATTGAAACAACATGAACTGTCATAGGTGGACATTCACCTGGGAATCTCTGCTCCTCCCCAGTCCGGACCGAACTCAATTGAACTATTATCCCTTAACAAGAAAATGAACTGATCAATGAACTCTCACACTGCACATCTAACTTCTTCTTCTCTTCTTTTTATACCCTTACCAATTTCCCATCTGTTTCCGTCCATATACACATCCCTCCTCCATCACCAAGTCACCAATAATTCTTGATGACTATCAATAATTTCCCCACTAAAGTTTTCCCGTCCCTTTGCTTCGCTTGTACTATAATTATTTCCATTTCCTTTTCCCATCCTTGAGTTTATCGAGTTGTCCTTAATATCCAATACATTTGGGTATTAAATTTTTGCCCAGTCCCCACGGCCAACTGTCACGCTGGCATCGATATTACACTGACCCCCCCCCACTTGACCCTCGTACAGCAATGAGAAAGGCGTTGCCGCAGTGTCACTGGAATTGTGCAAGTTCTCCTCTCTAAAATAAGGGGAAAAGTTTACTCCACTTCTGGCGCCAAAGTTAACTCCTGTGCCAGAAGCACAGGCGTCGTTATTTTACATCCGTAGTTTTAGTTAATTGTTAGTTAATCAATTAACGATGAGTATCTATGATAGAGATGCTAATAATATTAAAATAAAACATTCTAATACCATGTGTGTGTGTGCATGTTTGTACGTAATTTCAACATTTCTTAAAACTCAGCGAACAGGTTTTACATTTTGGTTGAATTTGCTTACACAGATCTAATGCCCTCGCGAAAACGGGTAACTCTACTAGAACACATAATAAGAACAAAACTGGTAAGGATAAAATTAGGAAACGTATAGATGAACCGAGCAAGGATGATAGTGTTCGTCATAAAAAGTGAAAATAATGAAAAGGAATAAAATTAGAATTAGAGAGAACAAGGAAGGCCCAAGGACGCATAGGTAGAAACGTGATAATAGAACAAACACAGAAAATAGGATCTTGAACAGTGACATTTTCGGGGCTGGGGCTGCAGAGATGATGGCCTTGAACGGTGCAATGGATTAATTAAAAATCTCACGCTACGAAAATGAGTGTCTGCAGGTTTTCAGCGATTATCTTGAAAGGTGTTATTTCGGGGCTGGGGCTGCAGAGGTGATGGCCTTGAACGGTGCAATGGATTAATTAAAAATCTCACGCTATGAAAATGAGTGTCTACAGGTTTTCAGCGATTATCTTGAAAGGTGTTATTTCGGGGCTGGGGCTGCAGAGGTGATGGCCTTGAACGGTGCAATGGATTAATTAAAAATCTCACGCTATGAAAATGAGTGTCTACAGGTTTTCAGCGATTATCTTGAAAGGTGTTATTTCGGGGCTAGGGCTGCAGAGATGATGGCCTTGAACGGTGCAATGGATTAATTAAAAATCTCACGCTATGAAAATGAGTGTCTACAGGTTTTCAGCGATTATCTTGAAAGGTGTTATTTCGGGGCTGGGGCTGCAGAGATGATGGCCTTGAACGGTGCAATGGATTAATTAAAAACCTCACGCTAAGAAAATGAGTGTCTACAGGTTTTAAGCGATTATCTTGAAAGGTGTTATTTCTAGGGCTGCAGAGATGATGGCCTTGAACGGTGCAATGGATTAATTAAAATCTCACGCTACGAAAATGAGTGTCTACAGGTTTTCAGCGATTATCTTGAAAGGTGTTATTTCGGGGCTGGGGCTGCAGAGGTGATGGCCTTGAACGGTGCAATGGATTAATTAAAAATCTCACGCTATGAAAATGAGTGTCTACAGGTTTTCAGCGATTATCTTGAAAGGTGTTATTTCGGGGCTGGGGCTGCAGAGATGATGGCCTTGAACGGTGCAATGGATTAATTAAAATCTCACGCTATGAAAATGAGTGTCTACAGGTTTTCAGCGATTATCTTGAAAGGTGTTATTTCGGGGGGGCTGCAGAGATGATGGCCTTGAACGGTGCAATGAATTAATTAAAAATCTCACGCTATGAAAATGAGTGTCTACAGGTTTTCAGCGATTATCTTGAAAGGTGTTATTTCGGGGCTGGGGCTGCAGAGATGATGGCCTTGAACGGTGCAATGGATTAATTAAAAACCTCACGCTACGAAAATGAGGTGTCTACAGGTTTAAGCGATTATCTTGAAAGGTGTTATTTCGGGGCTGCAGAGATGATGGCCTTGAACGGTGCAATGAATTAATTAAAAATCTCACGCTACGAAAATGAGTGTCTACAGGTTTTAAGCGATTATCTTGAAAGGTGTTATTTCGGGGCTAGGGCTGCAGAGATGATGGCCTTGAACGGTGCAATGGATTAATTAAAAATCTCACGCTATGAAAATGAGTGTCTACAGGTTTTCAGCGATTATCTTGAAAGGTGTTATTTCGGGGCTGCAGAGATGATGGCCTTGAACGGTGCAATGAATTAATTAAAAATCTCACGCTACGAAAATGAGTGTCTACAGGTTTTCAGCGATTATCTTAAAAGGTGTTATTTCGGGG